AGATCAGTACTTATTTTACTGTTGAGAAAGGTGCATCTAGAATGTCTGCCGAGAATAAAATTATTAAACAAATTTTATTAGAGGAAGAGGAAGATCAGGATTTAATATTGTACTATTTATACAAGAAAAGCAAAAGAGCTCCAATACACTCCTTATTTAAAAAAAGAAAAACAGAAGGCTATTTTAAACTGTTAATTTTACAGCACCTACAAGGCGATGAATATTTATTTAGAAAATATTGCAGACTGAATAAAACTCAATTTTATTTTGTTTTAAGTTTAATTGAAAAAGACATGCAGCCAAAAAAATTGAGAACGAAAATTACAACTGAAGAAAAACTCTTTATTACTTTAAGGTAAGTCAAAATAAATAACATAAAAAATTATACATTTAGTGAATATTTCAATTCATGTGCCACATTGAGATATCTGTGTAGGTATGTTCGTTTGTCGATGGTGTTGAAATTGATGCCTCTATTGGGGAAGATATTGAATAACTGAAGTCAGATACTGAACTTTGTGGACGGATTGCGTCAGAAGGAGTCATTGACATAAGTTCATACTTACTCATAGTGTTAAATATTTCTGTTTTAGCTTTAATCATTAAAATTGGGGGTAACTTTTTGAGTACAGCTTTAATATGTTCTCCAAAGGAATTGATGCCATTTTCATCTCCATTATTATCATTATTTTCTTTATTGCTCAAATTTTTAAAAATCGTTTGTCTTTGGGTATCCCTTTCTTTTAGATAATGTAGGAATTCATCTTCTTTGGTTTGCCGTTTCCGCTTTCGAGTTGGGACTTGTTTCGAAGTATTTTTATTTTGTTGTAAAACTTGTGTTTCGTCCTGAGATTCGTTCACAATCGTCGATTGGGTTTCATTGTCAGCAGTATCTATATCACCACCATCAGCATCGTCATCATTTATATTAATATTGGTTTCGTTCTCATCATTCCCATGGTTGTCGTCATCATCTGAAACAGCAGGTACATTCGACATAGTGTCTTTATGAGATGATGTTTCTAAAAAACTTAGTCTAGCATACACCTCCCATTTAGAATTTTTAGATTTAGCAGCACTTCCTGTCCCTGCATGTCTTTTCCGTTTATATCTGTTGTAGGAGTCTTTAATGCACTTCAATCTTTTTTTACAATCGTCCCCTAAAATGGAAACTAACTTTTATTTTTTTTTTAGATTTATGGCAACTGGAGAAACTTTTGTGTCTTTATCTTTTGCATATCGTATATCTGACTGTTATATTTCAAAGATCGTTAGAGAAGTTTTAAAAGCATTGTGCAAAAACCTTGTATCAGTTGCAATGCCAACATTATCTGAACAGGATTTTTATAGAGTTTCCGCAACATTTTGGAATAAATGGAATGTACCGAACTGTGTAGGAGCAATAGATGGGAAACACATTCGAGTTAAATCGCCAGAAAAAAGTGGTTCATTATATTTTAATTATAAGGAATATTTTTCAATTGTGCTTTTAGCCGTTGTAGATGCGGACTGCAAATTTATTGCAGTTGATATTGGTTCGTACGGAAAAGAAGGAGACAGTAATATATTTAGAAGATCCGCTATATGCCATCGAATAGAATCAAACAATTTTAATATACCTGAAGAAAAATGTCTTCCAGGGACTAATATTTATATACCACATTTTTTAATTGGTGATGAAGCATTTGGAATTGATTCCTACATGATGAAGCCATATCCTCGAAAAACTGCAAAACACGACAATAAAAAAGAAATATATAACTATCGCATTTGCCGCGCTCGCAGAGTTTCGGAAAATGCATTTGGTTTATTAAGCCAAGTTTTCAGAGTCTTTTATACACCCATATCAATTAAACCTGAAACTTGCAACGAGTTGATAATGGCAGCATGCTGCTTACATAACCTTTTACGTAACGAATATTTACAAAACAATAATAGTGGCGGATTTCAGTACAACGAGAAAGAAAATCCACCCAAATTAAATATGGCTCCTTTAAACCATTCTGGCGGGTTCGCTAAGCGAACGGGTTTATGGGTCAGAACTCAGCTTACAGAATACTTTTTAAGCGAACACGGAAAATTGTCCTGGCAAGAGCAACATATCTTCAATAAAAAAGACTAGGAACAGCGTTCCATACCACTCATTTCAGATTTATATTTGTAGAAGGATTTAAAATTTAATTACTTTGTATGTCATGTACCATGTCTATATGTTTATTATAATTCATAATTAAATTGTAAGACAGATAAATTGACAAAAGTTACTTTATAATTATAATATGCATTATGATTTTGCTTTATAAATCATTTAAAATAAAAGTACATACCTGTTCGTTTTAATATTGCTCCTATTTCTTTCCAAATATTTTCCCGCTTTACAATATCTTTGTAACTTTCTAGTTGAAGGTCGTATAAAGTTGGGTTTTGCTCAACTAAATCTATAAGTAGATCATCTTCTTCCCCTGAAAATACTGACGACTTTGATTGCGATGGCGTATTTTTCACTATTTTATCCAAAGAAGCCATTGCTTGATAATAGCACAACAATACTTATTACAACGATTGCTGCAGAACGACTGCCTCCAGACCGGTCTTGACGCTGACGCGCGTCCAAGCAGCAGAGACAGGGCGAGACACTTAATAAGCTAGTTGCTGCTGCAGCGTGCATCGAACGGTAAATCATTAGATTTCATTAGAACAGTCGTGTCTCTGCCTCTTGCCTCTGCCGCCTGCAGCTGCAGCATGTCTCTGCAGCGACTATCGAACGAGTACCTTTACAAAGTTCTCATAATTATCTGAGTATGAGTACTTAAATGAATAATACTCAAAGCAAATAAGTACTTTTGTAAATTTTAGAGAGTACTTGTGAAAAAATCGAGTAACCATTATGAGTATTTTAAATAATTATAGTTAGTGACTTAAGTTTAGAAAGAAGGAATTATAATTATAATACTTAGTAGTGGCGGCTCGTGGCCTAATCTACACCTGATACACCTTATTTACTTTATTAAGAATACAATGTAATATTTCTGCTTTTTGTATTCTAATCGAAAGAATACAATGTAATATTTCTGCTTTTTGTATTCTAATCGAAATATATATTTGTAATAAGTATATAGGGCGTGCCTTTCAAAAGTAGCCTCCTCGTAGACTAGGCCACGAGCCGCCTCTATTACTTAGTAATATTAATTCAGTAAGCAACAAACAAAAACGAGAGTTCACTTATCTTCTACCAATTAGTTAGCACCCACCATTAATATATATGTACCCCCAAATTTTTCATTTTAATGTTAATGTAAAGTATTAAAGGTATTTAGTTATGGCAGAGGTACAGATAGATAATACTCAAAAGAACAGTCATATAATACCATGATTTCCGTCATCTGACATATTTTTATGTTTTCCGTCCTGTATCGTTGGCGACGATAAGTTATATTCGGAATTGCTTTAGGGTTATGACGCCGATGATAGTGAGATTTTGAAAAATAATGCATTTGTCAGATAGATTGTTAAAGGGTTTTAAAATTTTCGGCTGGGAAATTGAAAAAATCAGAAATGATGATTATATAGAAGGAGAACTTAGCAGGAAGGAGAGTTTAGCAGAAGGAGGAGAAAGTAAAGGAAACAGCAAAAGGAGAGCAGACAGGAGAACAGGAGGTATGAGTCCCATCAGGATGAAAGTACTTACGAGTACTAATTACTGAGTACTTTGAGTACTCGAGTACAATTTTGAGTTTAATTTACTCGAGTAGTGTGCAGCTCTGGGTAAGGTTTATTTATAAGTTGATAAGTACTAATAACTCCTTTAACAATGACTGTAAAATTGCCCGAAGGATGCCGTTTGCCACGACACCGAATTGAGTACTTAATTAGAACTGAACAAATAACTTTATTAAGCCTATAATTAACTTTGTAAACAACCAAATTAGTACTGAAGTTCTAATTTTTTTCTAATTTTGATAAAGTGACATTTTGTAATCGCAGCAAGTGTCAAAATTATCTACTTTACGCAACCATTTGCATAATGCTGAACATTATAAAACTGGTTTCGAAAAATGTATTATGTCACCAGTTTCGAAAAGAAAACAAATAAAAATAAACTTTTTTAGTTTTAAAATCAATAATATACATTATTATTGAAAGTTTATATCAAATAAGGGCAGGTTGACTTAAAAAACTAGAATTTAGTTAAACTTACAACCTAGTAATAATGTTGTTTTGGTTCTGATTTTCCATTCTAAATTAGCACAACCTAATAAAAACACAATACCCGACAAAATAACTCACTTTTCTTAAAATCTAAACACCTTTAACAGGCAATATAAACACACTACACTAAATCGTGGAGGATAAATAAATGTGATTTCGTATTTGTCAATAAAAGAATGAAGTTAGTCATGTGCAACTAAAAATACAAGAAAGTAGTAATATTGGTTGCCTAGATAACTTTTTATCAACACACAATTTTATTAAAAATCTAGTCAAAATTAGAAAAAATGTTGTATGTAACACATTACGAAATTCCGTTTTATGTAGCTCGTTCATGTTGCGGGATCTCGCTCTGCTCGTACCGCAAATATTCACTCGTTACATAAAAAAAAGCATTTCGTAACTGGTTTCATAAATATCTATTAGATACATTAATTAGAACTTCTAATTTATTTAACTAGTACAGGTACTTATTGGATCTTATTTTAAATGATGAAAAATGTGGTTATTCAATTTTCCTCATTTTCTGATATAATATTGCGATTTGGCAATACTATTTATTCTATAGCACTTCAAAATGGTCATGACGAAAACTAATAATTGTAATATATTCCGACAGATGGCAATGTAATATTGTATATTTCAATTTGCCATTTTTTTGCAATTAAATAGGGGATGCGAAACAATTTCTGATGGTTTCTGGTCGACGTCGTCTACCGGGTCGTTCCGACGTCTGAACGTAGGATAGACGACGCCCTTAGACTAGGGACAGTTCATTATGCAGTGATTTCGATGCATTTAACCGATATTAGCGCGACAAAGAGGGAAAACAATCTCGTTTACGCCGATCTATAATAATTTTAATAACAAAATAAAAGCGAAGCATGTAGAATTTAAAAAAGAAAACAAGTAAATTTTTTGTGTTCTGTAAGTGAAAGAATTCAAATTATGCAACTGATTAAGGTAAGATTAAGCGAAACGTTAAGATTTTTGGTTTGTACACGTAAATTTTACTTAAATTTGAATTTAATATTTAAAAGCAGTTCTTCTTCACAACGGAAACCGCAGTTCCCTAGTCTTCCCGTAGCACATTAATATAAAATTAAATTTAAATGTAAAAGGTATATATAATTACCTATATAATTAGAAATGCAATACAAAACGATTTTAATTAGGATTATTTTTATTCTGTTGATTATGTCATCAAAACTATTTTTGCTAATTGCTGACCTAATTTTTTTAAAGGATGAGTAGTAGGTATCTTTTATTACGATAGGTAGGTATAAGGTAAAGGAGTTACATTTTTCACACATTAAAAATATTTTTTTAAATGAAAGTTCGAAAACAAAAGTTTAATTTAAATTATTTGTTTTTAAAAATAAATATACCTATTTGAAGAAAATGATCTTAATACCTACTCATAAAGACAACAAAATGATTCAAATAATTTGTAATGTGCCTACTCCATTAATGTGCTAGTTGCAGAAAATATATACGTATCTACCCTCTATTATCCCATACAGCACAAACACATTTCGGAAATATTTCAACAATGTTACATTGAAACATTTGCAATGTTGTATAAATATTACGAAATATCCCAGAAACATTTCTGAAATATGCCTGAAACATAAAAATGTCCTCTAAATATAATATTTCGCAGTAATATTTCTGAAATGAAAATTAGAAATGTTTTAGAAATATTAAATAGTAATATTTCAGAAATGTATTCTAGTTTTTTTTTCTAAAATATTATTAGACTAAAAAAAGATTTAAAAATATACATGTTTATTTAAAATACACGAAACTTAAACATTGATTCTTAAACAAACAAATAGATAAATATGTTTTAAAGAATATTTTATAAAATATAGAAGTGAATTGCTTCGTTTCCACCAATTCCTTTAAATGAACTAATTTGAAACAACTATTTTTTTTTTTTTAATAAATGATCCAAGTATAGAAACATTTACAATTATTATAATCTAATCATTAAGATCAATTAGCAATTTTATTCTAATCTATGTAACTTATCAAGGGATGAAAAACTTCATAAACTAAGATCCTATTCACTAGTATACCTTAGAGTCTAATTATTTAGTTACACCAGTGGCGTGCGGTAACATTTTTGGAAGGAAAAGCGATTGTATAACAATACAGCAGGCCAGTAAGCACAGCGCCGTAGACGAAAATTTTTCGCGGCGCATTCACCATTTTGTCTAATTCTTGCTTTTTTCCTCAGTACTACGGATATTCGAGATTGAGATTTTTGAAGTGTTACTATTACTTTATTACCTAGTTTAGTACTAGAAGCTATAAAAAACTTACCAATTGAAAAGCTTACTTGGTTTATTTAAACGTAAAAAAAATTTAACTGAAGTTTTCTTTTATTTTTTCCAGCATTTTTCGCACAGTTGACATTTATTTATACTTACTACTATTCGCCTATCCTAAATGGTCGTAAAATTTTGAATTTTCTGACAACTGTTTAACAAGCTGCTTTTTAATGAATATTAGGGCTAAATTAGAGTCTGTCTTCACTTGTTGAATTTTGTGTAAAACTTTTAATGCGCTTTAAAGCTGAAAAACTTCGCTCAACTGACGCACTTGTGGCTGGGATGGTTAGTACTAATATTAAAATTGCACAATTCAACAAATTTTAATTCGTTAAAGTTTTGAAATCGAGAGTTCATTTGTTGTAAAATATTATTAAAAATTTCGGCGTATAATCGACGACGCCAACATTATCAATTCTAATTCTCTTTCTTTCAGGTTCTAAGCCTATGTTTTGAGTCTTATTCCAAAAGTGTTCAAACTGATCTCGTTTTTTATTCATTTTATTTTTAAAATCATCAATTTGTTTAATGCAAAAGCCATTGGCTGCATTCAGCAGAAGCAACCGATTATCAAACGATAACTTGGCGATGACATCGATTAGTGAATCTCCTGAATGAACTTTTTAGGCACTTCGACAGGCGACATAAAAGTGACATGTACTTCAGAAAAAAATCATCATCTGAAACATAGGTACAAAATTTAGAATAAAACACAAATAAATTACTCAACTACATAATTATAAATTACTGTATTTGCCTGATTTTAATGCATTGTGCAACACTTCATTACCAACTACAATATATTTCATATTGTTATAAACATATATCACTTCAAAGTCCCCCATTTCAGTGAAAAATGACACATCCAGTGTATGTGGTAAAAATGAATTCAAAATAAACATAAAATAAGGTTATAAGTTATGAGCACCACCACAAAACATTCACTTCAGTTGGTATGAGTTCTAAATCTAATCACGATGTGATAACTAATCGTATTTCAAATTCGATGTTTTAAATGGCGGCCGATAACTCATCATTTGATTACTAATCGCTCTTTCTTATATCATTCAGCAGGAAATCATAAATCGATTGCTTCTGCTGAATGCGGCCAATGTCATTTGACTTTGTAAAATGTCGAATAAAATGTCAGTAAAAGGGAAAATCTCTGCAAAAATGTTGAGCAAAAAATTGAAATCAAAGTTTTGTTTGAGCCAATGCAAATACCCTTTAGCAGCAGTAACAGTTTCAGCATCCCATGTTTCTTTATTATACCAAACGTCTTGAAAAAAGTGTATCAAAGAATCACGGTATTGAAACACTGTTTCCACTAAACGTCCATTGTAGTTCCATCGCGTCGGAGCAACTTTTGGAAACCTTTTTTAAACGTGAATGTCCAAAGCGCGAGTTCTTTCCGATGACTTTGAAAAGAAGGAAGCCAAACCACTAACGTCGAAAAGAACACTTTGCAATCTTTAATATTATCCATGCTTCGCGATAAAACCAAATTAAGTCTATGTGCTATACAGTGAACGAAAATTGCATGTTTAAACTTCTCTTTCACTTTAGCTTGAAGGCCTCCTAAATGGCCAGCCATTACGGCAGCACCATCGTAGCTCTGGGCAACAAGCTTAGAAGCACAATCTAAACTTGAAATAATGTCACAAACAATTTTAAACAATGCATCTGCAGTTCGTTCGCTAGTGACGTCCAAAAGTCCTAAGAATCGCTCTTGAGGAATGCCATCCAATACATATCGCACAACAAGGGATAATTGACTTAAGTTTGCTACATCTGTGGTGCTTTTTTAATTTCACTTTTAATGTGATCCATCACAACGTCGGTAGTGCATTTAATTAAATCATTTTGGATTTTGTTTGAGGTACCTCGGAAAGTCGTCGAATCAATAAAATGATTTTTAGGGTATCATCGTATTTTGCTAAAAAACTTAGAAGGTCCATGTAATCTCCTCGATTGGCGGATCTACTTACTTCACTGTGACCTCTAAAACTTCGTTCATGCTCTCCCAGGAAACAAGTTGCATCTATTAATCGTTGTAAGACGTCCCTATTTTTTTACCCTTTCATTGGGAATTTTGTTGCTTATTTTAAACGATTATCCAAACTATCTTCAATGCGATAGGTCCCGAATGTTTATTCTTTAATTGTAGCACTTATATGAGATTTGCTATTTACATGTCGTTTTACACAGCAAAACAATTTCTTCAAAGTTTTGCAGCCGTTTAACCATTAATACTTTTCATAGAACCCTACGTGAAAATGCCTGGTAAATTTCTTTGCAGACTTTTCTACTTTCGTCTCTAAATTGATAGGATCCTTTAGTCTAGAATTAATAATGTCCGTTTTCTCTTCAAAACTTCTACTTGAAAATCCGTTTTTTCAATAAAGAGCACACAATACAGACACAATTTACCACATTATTATTGTTCACAGGCACAGTGCATAGTTCCTCCATTTTACAAAAAGAAAAACAACTACGAAAAACAAACCGAAATCTATCTGAAGTCTACGATTTTTCTCACACGTCGATTCGCGGTGCGAATTGCAATATGCGTAAGGAGACGTAAAAATCGCTGCCTCTCGACCGTATTTCACGTGTACAAACAGACTGACTACTGTGTCGCGGCAAAGCAGGGTCAACATGAAGCGAAATCAATTGGAAGATGAGCCGGCTTTTTCAAGAGGCGCTTCCGCCGACGGACTTGAAGTACCTATATGGTGTGGACGTTTACACAATTAATTTTCTCATGGGTGGTGCGTGCGTTTACACATTACACCAATGAATTGTTAGTACATTTACGAAGTTTACGTTATGTTTCAGAGAAAATATAGTACCTAATTTAATTTTAATTTCTATGCATTGTAAACTGAAAAATATTTATTTTTAAATCTCAAAATGTAGGGAAGCGGTGTTTCCCCCGCTTCCATGGACCGCACACTACCATTAACGTATGACACTTAACTGCACTAAACTCTGCTTTAATCTTACATTACTGAACTAACTCAAAAGGTTTGGTTCTCTTGAGTCTTCTTATTAGTGTGATGTTTGTTTACTTTAAAACAACAGTTTATTTATTAATAATTTATTTAAACACTTATTTATTTTATAACACAACTATTCTAATTTATATATACTTCGAATGTCTTTAAACTGATCACTATTTATATTCACCACTGTCTATCTACTAATTACTATTTATCTTCACTGTCCATATAACAACTGACTCTTCTTAGTTCTCCACCAATATTTATATACAAATTTAAAAGTTTGGCGAATGAGCTAGAAAGGTCACCAAATTCTCTAGAAACCACCAAATTTTCTAGAAACATTATCCCGTCTTTTCTGGAACATTAATCGAAAACTCTTCCGCCATAGTCGTCACATAGGTTTGGTCTTAAGGGGTTTAATTATGTATAATAATCGGACAAGTTGAGCCTCAAAGGCCAAATAATACAGAGAGGGACTTGGAGTATTAGAGCATGACTGAATAATGAAATGGCTCACATTACATTAGATTGGCATTGTTGAGGAGCTGGCTAAATTTTTGTATTGTATTTTCAACAGTCTCCACTTTAAGTTTCCTATAATGATCAGTATTGTAGCAGTAACAGGGTGCATCGACCATGTTCCGTAATACGTTATTCTGGAAACGTTGAATAACTTCGACGTTACTTTTACTGGCACAGCCCCAAAGCTGGCGAATCGGTTCATTTCCACCAATTCCTTTAAAGGCACTAATCTGAAACAAATTATAGGTAATTAAAAAGGTCTATTAATAATGTTTTAAATTAACTATAATAAAACAAACAATACTCATGCCTAAACAAAACGTGAAGCTTCACTTTTCAATCAGCTGTAGAACTAATAAATAAAACTCAGAGAAGAGATAAAGTTAATAAACGTAACCTAAACAAGCATTGTAATACTCGCCTCAATTTCTAAAGACATATTCTGCCTATTCTGCTTCCCATATATAACAGCACAACGCATAAATAACAAAAAAAGGAAATGACAAAAACCGACAACTCAAATTTATAATTATTTAGAATATATAGGGTTGTCTCTGGCTGGACATAGGATGAAATAATAAAATTACTACAAATTACATATCCCATCTTGATCTTCTTACAAATCAGAAATTCTTCATTGTTGGCCTTTTACAACAGGAACTTCTGCTTGAAATGTTTGAAACACTTCTGAAATAATGTGTGCTGTATGGGATTGTATATTAATTGAGTATAATATATTTTGAATTGTAAGAGGCCCTAAAACAGACCCTTGTGGTATTCTTAATTCCACAAAATGCCTTTTAGTAACTTGGTCATTGCCATGATATTTACTGTAACATTTATATATCCTTACAAAATTACCTTGTTTACTGCCTTTTCGAATAATTCGCTTTGGACACTATGTTAACGGCTTGGCATTTTCGGCTCAATAACGTAGTAACAAGTTTAGTAATTTCATTTTATACCTATAATCTCACTTTTAATTTTTAGCAACATAAAATGGTTCTAAGCAAAATTTTTAAAAGCTTCTTTAAAGCTGAACAAATCCATGTCGCTGTTTATTACTCAAGGATGAACATCTGCAGTTAATAAGTTAACGTTATGGCCAAATGCTTTTCAAGAGAATCAGATTTTGGACTGTGATTTTATTGCTCATCCTTTATGTCATTGGTATACTCATTTTAACTGCAGTATCTTTACACGATACTAGAGGCTCTTACAAGGTAAAATTTGACATTTAAGTATTTTATGTTGTCCACGACTAATTCCTCTCAGGCTCTACCTCATAAACGAATAGATATATTCGAGTGAAAATTGATTACGAGGGATTTTCGAGGGGCGCTCATCGATCCAAAATATTTTGGTTATATCGGAAGTGACATCAAACTCTTTTACTTTAACTGGAACACCCTGTATATGTTTACAAAGAACTGATTTTAACGATGTATCGCACTTGATGTCTTATGTATACAGGGTGTACCAGAATAATTCATATCCAGGTATATACCTACCTCACAAACATCTGTCTTAAATAAAAAAAAATAAACAGCCTTTTTTCTTCATTATTTTTGAATCATTTATAATGTTAAAGATATATGTACAGTCGGCGTAATCCAAATTTGAACGCTCTTTGGTTGTCATGGGGTTTTTTATTGAAATTAATTTCTGTGAACAAAAATTTGTTTTGTCTAATAGGTCTTATCTACATTAAATGGGCTATTCAAAATTAAAAGAATATAAATTTACAAAAACAATTTATTTATTAATAACTGAAATTAACATTTGAACATATAAAACTACAAAAACCATTTATTACAAGAGAAAATCAACGGCTGTAGCAAAATTGTACGAAAATTGGTCTTTAAGTGAAGTGTGTGCTGAATTAAATGTCAGTTGCATATTTTACGTTAAAAATGCTGGCAAGAACAACAAAGATTGCGAAGACCTTTCAGACAAGTTGTAGGGAAGATGTCTAATGAAAACGAGAACAATGCTCTCCTAAAAATTTAACAGCTATAGCAAGAATAGCGTTATTAATGTTTTATTGCACAGCCACTGGCTGTCACAACACTTTCCAATCTTCTTGACATCGACAAAATTAAATGTCGCATGTCGTAGGAATCTGCGAGCTCTTCCCAAGTATTTTAGATAATTTCCCGTAATTGATCGCGGTTTGCCGACCTAAAGTCTTTTTGACGATGAAGCCACATACATTTTTAATGGGGTTCAATAGAGGACTTTTTGCCTGACATGGAAAAACGTTTATGTTTTTTTTTATCCACTCACCATTCGAGCTGTATGAACTGGAGAATTATCCTGTAATAAAAATCAATCATTATAAACATTGACGAGTAAATCAAATTGATTTCGTACGAACAGTCAGGAAAAACTTCTCTTACTACTGATGATAACATCACGTTGAGTAAGATATTGCTCGGCTGTTATACGACCATCAATTTGCCAACACATTCCAGAAACTTTAACACATATTCAGGCCCAAACATTGACATTAAAGCGCCCACCATTAGTTATATCCAACGTATAATTATTTTCGAATTTTGAGTTTCTAGGACGATAAACTCGTAGTCTTTCACTATTAGTTTGCAAAATTCCTCCTATTTGCAAACTGGACTCTCCTGTGCTTATTTTCTGCAGTTAAAAAACCTTTGCGGGTAGCACTGCATTTTTTTAAGTCAGCTTGATTTTAAAACATTTGAGCTGTTCTGAGAGATCCTGGGAATAATGTTTCTTCTCGTGCTTTTACAGCGGTTCCAAGAGGATTTTGACGGATATATTCTACAAGAGCATTGCCTTTATTTTCATTAGAGACCTTCCCCACACACCTTGTCTGAAAGGCAATTTTTGTTTTTCTTGCCAGCGTTTCTTTAAGTAAAATAAGCAACTTTTATTGCTACTTACTTTTAATTCACTTAAAGATCAATGTTCTTCAAATGTTGCTATAGTCCTCGACTTTTGAGCCTTAGTTAAATACTGCGGCATTTTTGAAAATTTATTTGACACTACGAGCTGTCAAATTTGAGTGACAAAGTCTAAATCACATCATTAAATTTTGGTTTTCACATTTCGGTTTCGTCAACTGTACACTATTTAAAATTTGAAGGATGTGGGTTGTCATTATGGGGCATAGAAATAATATAGAAGACCAATATAATAGTATATTATGCAACGATCATGTAATAACCATTACATGAGAGTTGCATACGCTATTTTTTCTACACCCGATAAATAATCAAGACCTATAAATATTATATTTATATTGGTATTGAACACAATAACAGTAATTACTCGTATTTCTATAAAAAATTCTACAAAATTGTAATTAATGGTATTACTTCAGGTATTGGTATTTCCCTAGATTTTTGCGGTAAAATATTTTGTACTGTATTTTCTGCTTTCTCCGATATGTGTGGAGGAGTCTTCTATATCGCTAATATCAGACATTTTAATATTATAATTATCGAAGTTTAGCTACCTACGAAAATTTAATACGTTTTGACAACTAAAATAATTACATAGGAACCTAGGACAAACGTCAAACAGCATGCTTGATTGAAAAATTGTAGGTTTCTATTGATTAAAAATCTGTATCGTAATGAAAAATCTGTATCATAATGGGTATCATTATGAAACGGATTATGGGCATATAAGTGCATTATTATAATACGGGTGTAGAAAAACATAACATTTAAGCAGAAATTGAAACCTACTGTGCATAAAAACGCGTCTCTGCGCCTGACATCGCAAAATAGTGTGTCTAGAAGCTTGCGCAATAAGCATGACTTGTCCCTGTAGTGTTGCCAAATATATTAAACATACCTAACAGAAAAGAATTTTAAATTAATTAATTTTTAAATTATATGATTTAAACAGTTTATATCTACGAAATATCGCCACAAAATAACTTATAAACATTTAAATAATCAACTAATGCTGCGTTTGAGAATCCACATCGGATGCATTTTTTACATCTCGAGCGTTTTTTTATCCACATCGGACACATCTGTCCCATTACATTTACGTATACTGAACCACGTGATCAAAGATTTTTTACATCTCAGATGCATCCGATGTGGATTCTCAAACGCAGCATAATAATATTTATGTGTAATTACATTTCCAAAAATATATACAAATACCGTATTAATGTCATTAATACCGTATTTTTAATGTTCAATAAGCGATTCACCTACAAATTCGGCCGCATTCAGCAGAAGCAACCGATTATCAAACGATAACTTAGCGATGACTTATCGATTAGTGAATCTCTAGAATGAACTTTTTAGGCACTTCGACAGGCGACATAAAAGTGACATGTACTTCAGAAAAAAGTCATCATCTAAAACATAGGTACAAAATTTAGAATAAAACACCAAATAAATTACTCAACTACATAATTATAAATTAATGTATTTGCCTGATTTTAATGCATTGTGCAACACTTCATTACCAACTACAATATATTTCATATTGTTATAAACATATATCACTTCAAAGTCCTTCATTTCAGTGAAAAATGACAAATTCAGTGTAAAAATGAATTCAAAATAAACATAAAATAAGGTTATGAGTTATGAGCATCACCACAAAACATTCACTTCAGTTGGTATGAGTTCTAAATCTAATCACGATGTGATAACTAATCGTATTTCAAATTCGATGTTTTAAATGGCGACCGATAACTCATCATTTGATTACTAATCGCTCTTTTATATATCATTCAGCAGAAAATCATAAATCGATTGCTTCTGCTGAATGCGGCCCCTGGCATTAGCACTAAAATCCGGTGTTTCAAGGCTATATGACGCTGCCCTTACAGGACCGTTTGTAGTTTATTATTTATGCCGCGTTTGAGAATCCACATCGGATGCATCTGAGATGTAGTAAGTAGTAAATCTTTGATCACGTGATTCAGTATACGTAAATGTAATGGGACAGATGTGTCCGATGTGGATAAAAAACGCTCGAGATGTAAAAAATGCATCCGATGTGGATTCTCAAACGCGGCATTAATTACACGATGAAAGTGGCATTTTATTTTTAGTTTTGTGTAGTGTTTAGTCAAATCCTAGGTACAATAAAAGACATTTTTACATTGGCTAATGAAAATGTAATCAATGTATTAGGCAGCTGTTATATTTATTACAAGATTTATGTCTGCAAATCTAAACCTACCTAAGAATTATAATTATGTAAATAGAGAGCTGCGACGGGGAGAAATTATCGATATCGGTTTCAAGGCATTTTAAAACATAAACCCGATCTCAACAATCTTAGGAACTCTTCTGTCACTCGATATTTTAATCGGTACTTCCTCTTCGCTTTTTGGCTGGCACAACAATTATTTACATTTCTTCATTCCTTACCGCGTTCGAACCAGTAAGGTTTAAAGAAATTTAAAAAAAAACCTACTTTAAAAATAAAGATGTTAATGATTTTCTTATGGATCCCATCTTCAGATCTTGACTTAATGTATATAAAACTGTTTCCTATTCTAACAAAAAGAATCCTAGAAATCGGGCAACGTGGTAAAGAATTATCGCTCAACATACATAAAAAAATATTTCAACGAATTGAGAATATCCTACCATTTTGAAGTATGTTAAAAAAAAATTGTTAATAAAGTGAAAAGTAGGGCATGAACATATATTATAAAGTATATAAAATGATAGATAAATCCAGTTTAGAAGGTATTATAAATAAACTGTGGAAATGTCGAGAATCTCGATTTTGAATCGGAAAAATATTCTACGCAATTTAGTATGAAAGCTGATCAAAATGAAACACATGAACGACAAACTGTTATTGACAACTTTCTTCAAACGTTTTCTATTTTTCCGAAAACTAACTAGATAGTTCGAAAATCATTTCCTTCGTTAAAACGCCTCTTGTTCCGAAAAAGGTACACGCCTGTCAACATTCATCGTTCATTAAAAAAGTGGTAGATACAAAACGCTTCGTATTGTAAGGCCAAAATATATTTAGAAATCGAAATATTCATATAAACAAAAAAATCATATGAGTGAGATAACTACCAAATTAATGATTTACAAGTTTATTCCTATTATTTATAAAATAGGTTTGCAATGTGCTGGTGTGGAATGTTATCATCGACTAAAAACTTTAAATCTTTGTATTAAATTGATCGAAAACAAACTATAAATTGGTTTAGGCTATATAGAATGTTTCTAGTAAGCAGCAACTAATTTTTATTATGGAACCGAAAGACCCTTTTAAAAGGGTTCAAAATTAAAATAAAATATGTACCAAGTAAATGAAGTAGTATTTTTTAATTTTTTAATTTATATTGAAAATGGTAACATGAAAGGTTTTCTGTCTAACGACTCATAGTCTCGGCTGACAAAATGTAAAAAAATATCGAACATAATATTCCTGGGCCCTATTTTGCACTCCCCAGATTAAATTTAGTTGTAGCAAATGATCTTATCAAATAAGATGTCAAATGACAAGCAAAATCTCGTGACTACAGTACTAATGATTGCCTGTTTGGAAAAGTATCTTTGTTTGTAAATATTTATATGCATAGTTATATTTAAATGCGCGAGTGTAATGTTAAGTATAAACAAAATCCGCCCATTATGTATATACGTTTAGTTACCGACCCTAGTAGATAGGCAATTTGTTATTGTGTTAAGTTTTACCGTAGGGAGAGAGAAAATCAATATTAGGATAAATGGTCCAGCTCCTTTCTGGTTACGTAGGTACCTAAAAAGTATTTTAGTTTTTGGTTAAGTAATTAATTATTGTAACAGTGATTTTCTTGTGATAGTACCTAATTTAGATTGTGGATTAAAGTTTTTGTATATAATTTCGCTGTTTAATAATAAACGTAGTCAAAACCGGAGCACGTGGTTTTTCTGGAAAGTATTTTTAAAATCACAAGCAAAATCTCATGACTACTGTACTAATGATTGCCGAAAATTAACTAATTCATATTTTATGCCATATCTTTCTTAATAAGGACTGTCAGCACCATATTTACCTTAACTTGAAATTTTTTTTAATCGTTTTTTGTATAGAATCATCTCTAAAAATGTATGATTGAAATATCGTGTGAACTATTTATTCGATCAATAAAAAAATTGCACCGGTCCTGTTCGCGCCAGCACCGTTATACGCATGAGCTCCGACACACTATTTTCTCCTTATGGTTTCATTTTTGATATATGGAATCGGCTTTCTATACTATTTTTATGTTATGGGGTAAATATTTAGGGATTATTTTTTCTGCGCCATATTAAAATGTTAAAAAATGGTATGGTATGGATATCTCTATGAGATATAGCCTGGATAAATTAGTCTTGGCCACCCTGTATAATATAAGATTCATAAAATAAGATGCATCAAACCATATTACTAGTTTTTATTGTATATTTTAGAGTGGCTCAAGCATACACAGTAGATACAACTCCAAATCGAGGAGTTTCGATTATGGTCTTCCTGGTTTTAAGTCTCGTTTGCGTCGTCCAAAGGTAAACTGGTGTACAGATTTGAAATATATTAATCCACCTGGACCGGCCATTGCTCTAGCTTCGTTTCCTGGAAGCGGAAATACTTGGTTAAGATATCTGTTACAACAAGCTACAGGTAAATTAATAATATATGTTATTTGTTCCGATGAATCAAATGAACAATATTTAGATTCCATGATTTTTTCTTGATATGCTTTTCAAAATCTCATTGTTCAATTAATGTATTACAAATCAAGAATGAAAATAAAAGCATTGAAATATTTAATTAATTATCTCATAAATACCCATAATATATCCAAACTATGATTAAATAAAATTAAACCCAATTTTTGATTATTGAAATAAAACAAAATTTAAACAAAGCAAAAAATCAAATAAAACATTCAGTATGTACCATTTACAAAAATGACCTTAAAACCTGTACTGAGGTTGTGGAGTACCCTGTATAGTGGAATTTATTTATAGAAATGTAGCGTTTCTAGCGTTGTATAATATTGAATTGGAACTTTTTCTAAATCACCTAGTTTAGCTACTACGTACACATCGAAAATAATTGATTCACCTTGTATACTCTTATACAATTAGCTTACTTGTAGGTTTCCACACTGGATCTGTCTACAAAGATTACGGGCTTCGTAAAAATGGTTTTCCAGCCGAAAGCATATCCAATGGTTCAGTATTAGTAGTGAAGACTCATGAGTGGGGACCAAGAGCTAGATGTAATTTTTCTAAAGCAATTTTACTCGTCAGGACTCCGGCCGCTGCCATACAAGCAGAATTCAACAGACAGAGTGGCGGCCATATTGGATTTGCTGCTCCAGATAGATACAAACGACTGAGAGGGCGGTGTAAGTTACAATACAATATAATTTTATATAAAATAATTTACCCGTAAATAATAATGCTTATACTTTGTGAACAATATTCATAAAGTCTGCAAACCGCTCCTTAAAGATGAAAGGTCTTGTGTGCTTGACTTGACACTGTCAAATTTTTACTGACTAAAAAACACCCTTTGTTTTCTGGAGTCACCGAGATCACCCATTAGGTATTCATCAGTACCTGCCACGGTCACTTGTGTGAAGATAGCTCCCGGAGCTAGCTCCCATTTCCAGCTCCCAGCCCCCACCAACGAGCCCAATTTACACAGCACTACTACTTTGCAATATGCGTCGTTACCTTTTCGATAAATGTTAATTTCAAAACACTTATAAAGAGATTTTTTACTAGCTCAGTGAAATTTAATATCAAATATTACTTACCTTAAAAATTAAAAAAAATAAATGAGCACATTGACCATATTTTTCTCAGTCGTGAATTCGGCTTTTCCAATAGACACCTTTAGGGTAATAATTTTTCTAGGAAATGTTGGGCACCAATAATTCTCTTTTTTTATTTTTAAAAGCTAGTGAGAATTATAAACTCTAGCTTTATCAATAAAAAGAAGTTAATACAAACTTATACAAAATTTAGTTTGAGTAAAAGAGAATTGTTGTAACCTTTAAAAAATAAGATTCAACATAATATATACTTATAAAAATTAACGATTTTATTTAGATAAAAAGAAACCGTTCAGAAACAAATCATATACAGTTTATCAGGTATCAATTTTGATTCCGTTATAGATAAATTTAGTCACTAGTAATTACCACTTTTGCCTTTTTGCTGGCAACTTCTTTTGGAGGTAGTTGAAATTTCTGCACATCTGGAACCCAAGCCTTTGTCGGTTACTCGAACATAAACAACATGCCTTTTTTGTCTTTGTTCTCGTTCTTCCTTGTAACTGTGAGTTGTAACTGTCGCTTTTACCAGTTAAATCAGCTCGATTAATTTTACAGCATTAAGTTTACAGCGTGTAGGTTTTAGCGTGTGGGTTACAGCGTGTGGGTTACAGCTGAATTCATTCGTTTTCTAAACAAAAATAGATTTTGTTTTTCACGTGGCTCTTGTACGAGATATAAATTAAATTTGAAACATCTACTTTTTAAAAAAATGAACCAAGATACAATAAAAAACTAGTGACTATAAACATTGTGCCGTTCTAGCAACCAGAATGAATCATAAAAACATATTTAACTTTACTATCAAAAAAACTAATAACTAACAAAAGGTTTGAATAGTATTTCTACCGAGATATTTTATAACGACATTATACTTTTTATGCTTACCACTTTTACAGCCAAAACACCACCAGATATGAAGAGAAAATAGTAATAAAATGAAATTTAAAAATCTAATGCGAGATCGTTTGGTTAGCTGTACTCCCACTTCAAGAAATTTCCCTTTCTTTGGAATATTGTGTGTGGCGATAATTAAATTATACAGGATGGCACATATTTAAAATAACATTTTTTAATTAGACTATTAAAATGTTGCAACTTCTAAATTATCAGAGTAAGAGACCGATGTGCTTGTGATCACTCTGCTTGTTACATATTAAACCAAATTACGATATCTTCATTATTTATACAGGGTGTAACAAACAGTTGTATAGTATATTAAACCGAAGTTTCTGGGATCGAAAATAAGCCGAAAATATGGTAAAAACATCCAAAATAAAAAATTAAAAAAATTGGAAGTATTTTTTGGTTCAAAATATTTTCGATTTTTTTAAATCGTTTAAATTTTTTCTATGCAACATTACATACTTGAAACCAAAGCTAAAATCTATGAACAACTCAGCGGCTGCTTTTTAGCCACCAAACTGGTTTAAAATAAATTTTAAACTATATTTAAAGTGACGTCATTAATTAATAGATGGCAATAATTGAGTGTAGGTGTAATAGTGGTTCTGCTAAAAAAGTATAGTACCGAATTATATAGGTACAATTTATAGAATGTTTTGTCATTTTTTTTTAAAAAATCGGTGATTTCTGTATATACTCAACTGAATACAATAAAAAACCGGCGTCAAAACAACTTTTCAAATATATGGAGTCATACGAAAACTAAATAAATAAAAGAAAGACGAATTCTTGGAAAATTTATAATAAATCATAACTTCAAAAATCAGCTTTGAGACACCATCGAAACTAGTACAGTAAATAAGGCCATTGTCTTACTATTTAGAGAAAAAATTTCAACTTCCGAAATATACGGCGTCATATGAATAAACAAGTATTAGAAATTAAAATTTAAAAAAACCGACTTCAAAAACGTACAGATGCCATCACCACATATTAACCAAATTTATATGCTACCACCCCTGAGGTACCCTCTTACTAGCAAAAAAGAATCATATAAATCGGACAAGGAGGTAAAGCATTATCGCTAAACATATATAAAAAAATTAAGAGTTTGAGGATTTTCTCATGGACCCAATTATTAGATTTTGAACAAATTTATAAGGGACCACCCCTGAAGTACCCTCTTTCCAACAAAAAAAGAATTATTGAAATCGGCCACCGTGTTAAAGAATTATCGCTGAACATACATTAAAAAAAATATCGCGACGAATTGAGAACCTTCTCCTTTTTTGAAGTCGGTTAAAAAATAAAGAGTAAAAAAAAGAATTTTTGAAAAAATTAAAATAAATCATAACTTAAAATATCAGCTTTGAGATACGATTGGAACTAGTACAATAATTAAAGTCGTTGTCTTACTATTTAGAGAAAAATTTTCAACTTCCCAAATATACGGCAATAGAGGAATTTTTGAAAAAATTAAAATAAATGATAACTTCAAAAATCAGCTTCAAGACACGATCGAAACTAGTACAATAAATAAAGCCTCTATCCTACTATTTACAGTAAAAATGACAACTTCCCAAATATACGGCGTCATACGAATAAAAAAATAAAGAGTACAAATAGGAATTTTTAAAAAATTAAAATAACTTCAAAAATTAGCTTTGAGACACGATCGGAACTAGTACAATAATTAAAGCCATTGTCCTACTATTTACAGTAAAAACTTCTACTTCCCAAATATACGGTGTCATACGAATAAAAAATAAAGAATAAAAAGAGGAAGTTTTGGAAAAATTATATTAAATCATAACTTCAAAAATTAGCTTTGAGACACGATCGGAACTAGTATAATAAATAAAGCCAATGTCCTACTATTTACAGTAAAAACTTCTACTTCCCAAATATACGGCGTCATACGAATAAAAATAAAGAATAAAAAAGAGGAAGTTTTGGAAAAATTATATTAAATCATAACTTCAAAAATTAGCTTTGAGACACGATCGGAACTAGTATAATAAATAAAGCCAATGTCCTACTATTTACAGTAAAAATTTCAACTTCCCAAATATACGGCGTCATACTTGTGCAGCTCTTTGCCTGACCTAATCTTTACCAGTTTTAAAATATTATATTGAAGTGGTAAGCACTGAGTCAACCCAGAACTCACCGCGTGGAGGTGTCTGTACATCTAGTACCTAAATTATGTCGTTTTTTCACTTCAATAAATATATTCCTAAAGTAAGTAGATAGCATGTATCAAATATGCAATCGTTTAGTTACTTACCAATTACATACCTTTAAACTATTTTTTATGACCTGTAAACAATATTTTGAAATAAAATAAAAACAGTAAAAACGTATATGTCAAATTTATTGATGTTTTTGTTAAAAGTTTGGTTAGAATTAAATGTCAGTGGAATCAAAATGACATCACACTGAACTAGCGCATTTACAGTATAAATTATAACATCTCAAAATAATAACGTTATACTATACAAGGGATTTTGCAAAAATAAAAAAAAATAACTTTGAGAAGTTAGCAACTAGTACTTACAATTAAGTCAAAACTCATCCTACTATTTATAGTCCAAATTACAACTCCTCAAAACAATGACTTTATACATACAAAAGATTTTTAGAAAAATTAGCTTTGAGACATTATAGCAACTGTAAAGTCATTATTAATCCTACTATTTACAGTATAAATTACAATTTATATTTAGGAAATTGAAATTTTTACTGTACAATCTGTTCGCTATACTTACGCGGGTTTCGGATTAAAAATTTTATGAGTATTTCCAGGTAAGTACCCGAAAGTTTGACCTGTTCTTTGGGGAAATATCAACTGGTTAAATGAAATGAAAAATAATGTACAACTTTTTAATTAAATAATAATGGAGAATCTTTTGTATAATTGAGAGCAGAATTAAACTTCTTCATTAATGGAGTCTAATGTGGCTATTATAAACCTAATAATAATTTTATATTACACTTCACACAGAAAATATGGTCTATCTATAATAAGAGGGTTATTTAGCTCAAATAAAATATTTTCTAAGATAAAAATTTGTTCCATGTAGAGAATTTCAAAGGAAAATTAAAAAAATTGAACTTGCCTACTAAAATGAGAATCAGTTATTATCATCCAAAATATCATAATCGTCATCATCATCACTGTCATCACCATTAATTGTTATTATGATTGGGCTTATTTCTTATTTCTTTTATTTTATTTTCACGAGTCCACCAATCTTCTATTAGTTTCTCGCACTTGGATATACAGTTCCGCAATTGAAAGTGCTTTTCGCCAAGTTTTCCGAACTGCGTCGTCACTATAACCATTAGGCTCAATATGCTTGTCATAATATTGTTTTGCTATTCTCCATATATATTCGATGGGATTAAACTGGCAATGATACGGTGGCAGACGTAAAACTTGATGACCGTAACTTTCAATAATCTGATCCACAACAAAGGTTTTTGGTTTTGCGTGTATATTTGCCAAGCGTAATAATTCTGATTTTAATATATATTGAGGAAATGGTATATGTTCCTTTGTCAACCATTCTTTAATTTTATCAACAGTCCAAGAATTCGTTGGACTTTTGTTTAATACTTCAGAATGGTAAGGTGCATTGTCTAAAATAATTACGCTGGGCTCACTTAAACCTGGGAGAAGTTTCTCATGCAACCATTTTACAAACATTTCTGTATTCATATTATTGTGATAGTCACTGGATTTTGATTTAGATGAAAATATTAAATCAGCACCTTCTATAAAACCCGATTTCTCTCCTGCATGT